GAGTTGTGTTCAGGCCAGTTGTGCTTTGGCAGCAGGGGCACAGAATCTACTAATTTGAGTGGACAACTACGTGTGCTCGACCTAGCATCGTCTTTTTCTCTAGGCAGTGGATCGTTTGGGGTCGATGCCACTCGCGCTTCTCAACAAAGAACGGTGGCTTTACAGTTGTCTTCGGATACTACTCTCAGGTTTCAGCGATGACGTGAAACACCAGCGGCGGCAACATTTGCCGCGCCATTGCCAGTGTGCGGTATGGAGAAATGGTGTATTTCTTGAGGACTGCCTTGAAATTTCAGTTTCTTTAAGGGGTTTTCTCGTAAAGGTACAATCATTGTGCAAAGAGAAAAGATAAAGCATTTTCTTGTGTACACACTGGCTTTGCTCTTGGTGTACTCCCTTGTTGGAGCGCTCAGAGTCCCTTTTTTACGAACACAATATAGACATAGATGCTTACATATATACATACACATTCATCTCTATGAGCGCACGTATGCACAGCTCATCATATGAGCATCTTCCCAAGATTGAGTTGGTTGAATGCCTGGTGATATGAGCACGTTCGAGATACTGAGCAGCAGAACTTGAGATTGACGTTGTAGCACCAAAGAAATAGCGCTGAAAAAGGCTAAAATAAATCCAAAAAGAATGCGACCATCGATGCAAAGTATCAGGCTTAAACCCTAGCGAGCAAGTTCCACCACAGTGAACCTACCCATCTGCCACGCTCAGTTCACTAGTGCTCGGAAGCCATTGCTAGCTTGCCAATCACCTGACGGCAGCGCACCAGACTTTGTGATGTCTTGAGTGCATTTGCTCATCCACGCAGCTGTGAACATGAAAAAAAAAACACCTCCACCCACACATGCGAACCCTCGTCCTCGCCTCCTGCGATGACAACGGCATGGCAAACCACGTCGGCCCCGTCTCCGGTGATGATCGGTCCTATCTCGGCCTTGCCAAGGCCGACCGCATCACCCCAATCTCAATCTGGGGCTAGCTATGTGCTGCTCCTCCACGCGGAATCGACTGGCGCGCGCGAGCAGAATTCTTGGGCAACTGAGAAATAGCAAGTCCACAGAAATAAAGAAATTTCGGGGAGCTTTCTGGCTTGCAATGCCTGGTGCATGTGAGCCCACCTGTTGCAACTACCAGCATGCATGCATCCAGGTTGGTCAAAGCACGACCTGAGGCATCGCTGACGCATGATGTTAGGTTAACTTGTGTACTGCTTAGCTTAGCCAGCAGCAGTAGTAGTACTTAGAAGAGGGCAACGCGGCACACGGCACGACTTGGACTGCACACACAATCCTTTTTTTCTCGAATACGCAAAGCTTGCGTATCTTTCCATTGATAAAAGGAGTAGAATGAGAACATCGAGGGATACAACACATGACACAAACGCAGACAGGCGTGAACATGGTTCCCGGAGCAGAGAAGGGATGCTCGGCCCGAATGGAGGATACAACACAGCTAAACCTACCAAACCCAAAACCAAGAGTGTCCAAGCCGAACCAGGCATAACTCCAACATCACTCGAGCCAATACGACGGACACCGCGAGCGAGCAAGATAACGCCTTCAAGAAGGAAAACGAAGTCGAGACGTCGTCGCCATCCGGTCCGGAGGAACCAAACCGAGGGTTTCCCCTGAGCTCGAAGGGGGGCGCAGCTGAAGGCCTTGACAACGCCTCCAAGAAGGAAACGACACCCGCAGGTGCCGCCGTTGCCAGCACCGGCAAGCTGAGCAGGGATTTCTCCCTGGCCTGAAGCTGAGCTATCCCATAGCCGCCGAATTGGGGATCGAAGATGAGGAAGCCAATGTTAGCTGGAACCACCGTGTACGAAGCGGGTTGGTAGGGCTGAACCTGCCGTCGGAGGGTGGCACCGCCTCCGAACCCAGGAGCTTTGGATCTGGCCAAGCAAGGACTAGAGGGACGCAGATCCAAAACTGGCGTGGCCTTGCCGTCGGAACATGGGCGAACCAGGTGAGCCAGAAGGGACGCAGCTACCTAGCTGCCAAGGCCGGAGCCTCCCGACAAAGGCACCGACGGTGGGGGACACCGGAGAGACGCGGACCCGAGACCGCCGGGGCTGGAACAGCTCCAGCAAGGACCTACCGTGAGGGGCATGTGTCTGCCACATCCCTAGAAGCATCGCCGTCTCCATCCAGAAGTCGTCACCGAGTCCTGGGGGAGGAGGTGCCGCCGGATACGAGGGGGGCCGCCTGCATAAGGAAGGCCGCATGCCGCGAACTCCTCTGCATCCAGCCGCAGGTCCGACACCCCACCCATGGCCGGCAGCAGCACCAACAGTGGCTGGGCCGTGCCGCCGCAGGTGGTGAGGAAGACCGCAGGGGAAGGCGCCCAAGGCAGGAACGCCGAAACCACCGCCAGACCAGCAAGCAAAGGCAGCAGCTGGAGAAGATGCCGGGGAAGCGCCGGGGAAGGGACCCGGGTCGCGCGGGAGGGGGAGGGGCGGAGGTGGCGTCCTCGACGGCCGGGGGAGTCACGGCGAGCCCGACAGGGGCCGGATCCGGGCTCAACATGGCCTGGGCGCACCGCAGCCGCGCTGGACCGACCAGGGGTCGCCGCCGGGGAGGGGGGGTGATGGAGTCGCGAGGAAGTAATCTTATTTTGATTCCTTCCTTCTCAAAAAAGTGAAATCACCATACTTCATGGATAATCAAATATTGTTTTGATTCCTTCGAGGGGGAGGGGGGGAGGGGGCGGTAAATTGGAGCCCATAACAGAAGTTGAAATATATCGGCACCACAAAGGGAGATTGTGCACCGTTTATTTCCTGTTTATTTAGACATGTATTAGTGTGTGTTTTTCTTGGAAAGTAATCTTCAAATTCAAAAGATAAAGCTTTCAATGACCATATAGAGTAGAATATATATTATCATTTTCTGAGATAAAAAATAGTTAGTTGCACAAGAAAGATATATCATTTTAGTATCATTTTCCGAGATACATAAAAGTAGTTAGTTGCACAACAAATATATGCACGACTCCTATTTCTTGAACTGGCTATCTGAGATGGAAATAACATCAAAGTATTATTATTTTTCTTGAAAATTGTGATGTATCATGCATGGCAACTGATAAATTTTTCATTATTGGTAAATACTCACTACAACATGGCACTTGGTTAGGGGCAGAAAATCTGTCAGAAAAGTTGCTCATTGGGGTAATTTTGTGGTTTGAAGCCATATCATAATCCTCAGGAGACACAGTGCCTAGCCGTGGTTCTCGCCACATTTTTTACCATAAAACATAATTAATATGTTAGCTGGCAGACAAATTTGCCATTTTATATATATATCCCAGTTGATGCGTTAACATGCACATTTTTCCCTAGCAATTACAATATTCCTGGTAGAAAGAATTACCCCTATAATCATATTTCAATAATAGTTGAATGATGTTAATCTTGTGTTGTTTTGAAGTAACTATTCAACGCCCATGAGAACACAAAAGATGCTGGCTGAGAAGGTGACCCCCTGCATTTGCGGGGCTAGACTTCAACTCTATGATGCAAACAATGTGTTTTTATTTTCACTTCTAAATCTCGTCAATTATAATTATGATCCGCCATATAATTATTTGTGCAAGTTATTCAGTCTGCGTGGAAGAAAGTGGTGCCTCGTTTGGCTCTTGTTTTAGTAATCCTACATAACTAAGTAGGTGATCCCGCTAAGCTATTTATCTCAACAGCACACATGTCACATCAACATGCAAACATGTATGGCAAGAAGCCCGCCTAAACATGGTAAAGCATATGTATTTTCAATTTTAGTTCACATATTATTGATCAAAATATCTATAATCCATCCAATCAAATATAATTAGAATATATTGCAACAAATCCTGAAGGGTAACATCTAGTTTAATATAGTAGATAGTGCCTTGCCTTGTCAGTCAAGCATGGTGTTGCTATAACCTAGCTATTCCCTCCAATCAACTTTAATTGTACTAAACCATCGACAAGTACTGCTATGGATTGGGGGAGTATTAAAGTTCAAAAAAAAAAACAAGCTTATTCTCCAATTTAATTATCAAGCTAGGGCAACTAGTTGCTACATAAATATTAAGAGTGGTTGTTATGTTCTGTATACAAAAAAAAATGCTTCCAAAAGTTAGAACATGACTTTTTTTATCAGATGCGTGATTAAGCTAACTAATCAAGCTGACCCCACAGTGAAAAATCCTAGAAATTAGAGCGCATCACGCAGCGCACGTGGTTCAATACTATTTTGGAGCTTCTAGGCCCTTTGAATTTTTCAGCTGCCCCCACACCCACTGCAGGGCGCCTATATTTTCTGTCTTTATTCCTTTTCACGAGTTGGTGCATGGAGTACATTTCAACACACAATGACCTTAGCTTGACGACCAATCTGCAACGCTATTAGAAGGAGGAAGGTTCGTCTCTCGTCGGGCGCTTCAACAATATCACGGGAATGGTCAAATCCAGGATATGCCACTCGTGCGCATTCGCTATCGATCCCATCCCACCATGCAAACAGTCTTTTTACCGTTCCGGCCTTGTCCAACCCCCCTTGGCATCCATCTGCGTGTCCTCTAAGACAACCCCTACCCCCCCTTGGAATCCTCTCTCTCTCTCTCTCTCTCTCTCTCTCTCTCCCTCCCTCTCTCTCTCATGACGCATGCATGTGATCCGTGGTACTCCCTCCGTTCCTAAATACTTGTCCTTCTAGGCATTTCAACAAGCGACTAAATACGGAGCAAAATGAGTGAATCTACACTTTGAAATATGTCTACATACATCTGTATGTAGTAGTCATTTGAAATGTCTAGAAAGACAAATATTTAGGAACGGAGGGAGTACATGTGAGGCGGAGGAAGCCGCCTTCAGCAGACTACGGGTCAAAGTGAGGCACGATTATCCTAGCCTAGTATATAACCCTGGGTGTAACTTGTAAAACTCTTTTCAGCTACTTCCCCTCTCTCTACCTCTAGCTCGAGCTCAACATAGCACGGCAATGGAGAATTACCCCATTTTCTTTGGGACGCAGCCCTCATCTTCCACCTCCAATCCATACCACTTCGTGGCAGGAGCGAGCAGCCATGACCATCTCCATCACCATGGTCAAGCAGCTGGCAATAACACCGGCGGCGGCGGCTTGAATCAAGGCCTCTTCCTGGGGTCCAAGCAGGAGGAGCCCTCTGAATCAAAGGATGGTGGCGATGATGGTGCAGGAAGTAGTTCACAGGGCGGTGGCGGGGAGGCGGACGTTGTCGTCGGGAAGAAGAAAGGCGAGAAGAGGGAGCGGCGGCCGCGGTTCGCGTTCCAGACGCGCAGCCAGGTCGACATCCTCGACGACGGCTACCGGTGGAGGAAGTACGGGCAGAAGGCCGTCAAGAACAACAACTTCCCCAGGTCTGTAAATCCGTGCCCTAATTTCTCATGTGACACCTTGACTTGCTGATCCTGACTGATCGATGATCAAATTGTTTTGATGTTTGGTATACTTCTAGATGTTGTTTGGGACTTCTAACCATTGATTGTTTCTCCTTTTGGGTTCCTTTTTCCATTTGTTTGGCGTGCAATTTCATTTCATGTTTTTGATGGGCATGAAGCAGAAAGTAGGTGAGAGCTATTGGAGTCCCAGTGAATCTTCCAAGCTCTGGTAGTGGTTGCCTACATGTGATAACGACATGTCTCATCCTCATCATCTAGTCTAGGCGTATGAAAAAGCTAGCTAAGTTCCACGTGATTTTGATGGGCATCGCCAATAAATAGAGAGCTGATGGCGATCGAATTTGACTAGGAATAATTTGAACCATCAGTTAGAGGTGGATTGAACGCTGCACATTATCTACTCCTTATGTCTATAGATTATCCTAACTAAGTCACCATATTAGCATGCCACCTGGAGCACAAAAGACAGTCTTTTTGGGATTACCGACTACAGACGCTGTCTGGCCTTTTCCTCTCTAGGGGCCTGGGTTATGCTTATATTATTTACTAGCTAGGCAACTAGCAGACTGACCCGTGCATTTACGCGGCTAGCTAGATTTCATACATGCTAGCTAGATCTCATACATGAAACTGTAAATGATGGTGATATGGAAAAAATATCTGTGAAGAATAAAATTATTCTATTTTTATATAAAAGCCTTATATACGTTAATCGCTGGTGTTAGAAAAGTGCAGCCACCAGGATTCCTCTCAACCAAAATATATGACGATGTGATATATTGTTGATATTTTTAGATGCTAATGCTAATAACAATGCATTTGGCTTACATTTTAAGCATACTTTACATGATTTGTTGCTTGCAACATTTTTTTATCAATACTCTCTCAGTCCCTCTTGTTATATTTTCTTTTCTCTGATGATGGACGTTACTGTTTTAGTTATTTCACTTGCCCATCTATGTCAACGTAGTTATCAATAAGGAAGAGAGAATAAGTCACATGGTTACTGCTAGATCTTCAGTGTCATCATCTCGGCAAAGACGCGCATGTACTTCAACCTCTATTCATAATTAGTATATTTGATGGCCTTTCCTATAGGTTTCCTAGCAATGAATGTAATTATCGGTTTATATTGACTGGGAATTTATATATGTAATAGGAAATTTCATTTCACGCAGCTTCCCGGCTCACATTTATAGCATAACCAAAAAAAAACTATCATATACTCAACATGATTTGTTCATTTCAATCTTTACATTTAGCTTCATTCGTATGATATGCCACTTGCATATATATCACACATTCAAAACGACCTGACTCTTTCCATGTCTTGCACGTGGTCCTCGTATAAGCATACACTACTGGGTTCTTCAAAATCTACTCTTTTAGTCTCACCCCCAATTGCCATGAACTTTGAAAGTGACTGACAATTCAAGAATTACCAAGCTTGACTCTTTTATACTGGAGTAAAATGTTGTTTCCATATAATCGAATCCACTAAGGTTTATACATTTAACAAATCCAAGAATGTCGATACATCGGATGTGTGTTGCTTGGTGTGTAACTGCTTGATGTTAATCCTCGATCACTACATACTCCATGATATTGAATGGAAATTAATTTGTTTGAGTATAATTAGCAGTTATATATTTGTGGAAACTTTCCATAACATATTGCTTCCCTTTGCTTCGTAGTATGTGACTAATATTTTTCAACATAACCAAGACAACTTTACTACATAACTGACTTCCAAACTTTATTGTTGCAGAACAACAATATTTAGCTTCCAGGTCTAGTACAAGCTTATATCCTATTTAATTCTCAAAATGTACTATTTTATTGTCGGTTACAACTGTTGTGAACTTTGCAAATGACATGCAATTCAAGCATATATACCTTAGTTAAATCCATGCAGGTTGACCCTTTTAACTAATCCATACATATTGACCCATCTAAAACATGATGAGTTTCTTGTTGGTCCTCTGTCACTGCAAACTACATGATACCAAATGTAAATAAAATAGCTTTTTTGTTCCACATTTCAATTTAGTTTGACTGTACATATAAATCCATTTGTTCATGATAACAAATTATTGGTTTACCCATTTTTGACCATAATAATGGAGTACAAAAATCAATTGGCTATATTTTATTTCTGATCAGACTAATCCATGCATATTGAGATATCTAAGACAAGTTGTGTTTGGTGTTGGTCTTCTATCATTGCAAACTACATGATACCAAATGGAGATCAAATCGTTTTTCAAAAATTGTGCATATACACCCAATCACTCAGAGTAAACAATTAAATGTGTTTAGCTATATGTCACCATAATAATGGAGTACGAATATCAAATTTGGATATGTTTTATTTCTGATCAAACTATGTACGTGAAAAGAGTTCTATATCTTTACCTACTGTTTATATCGTTACCTACTGACAGAAGAGTAGAATATAGCTCTTCTGTCAAGAAGTTCATTCTTAAATTTAGCTATTTGTAACCCTAATACTAATAGTCATCGTATATCTTTACCTATTGTTTTGCATGAACTGAGAGAATAGCACAATAAATATCTATCAGTGACTAACTTATATACTTGCTAAAATAAATCATAGTATAGTAGAAGAGGTCATATTGTTTAGTTGATTAGAAATAAGGCATGCGCAACATAGTCTGATTCGTATGTAAACCATTGTCCAATTAATGCCCAAGTCATTGTCAATTAAAATTCTTGCTGATGTTAGAGGTGGCGTTATCCATGTTCTACCATTGTCATACACAATGCGTTGATTTGTGATTGCTCTGATATAACAACCTTTATATGAGATATTGATATGTATGTCTAATTGTTAATTGAATTTAAATCAAAGCCATTACCACATATGATGGAAGGACTATTTAGCTTATTTGGACGAAAATGGTGGCTTAATTGCCTCTTCTTTTAATAATTACATAATAGATAGATAGATAGATAGATAGATAGTCTCATCTAACATCGGCGCAAGAAATAGACGACTTATGTGTATGTTGATGCATGTCTTAATTAAATTTATACACTTTCAAAAATAATATAATACTTCAAGTAACAAATATTTAAGGCGGACCAAAAAATGAGATAAAATGACAAATACCAAATATTTATTAGACTTCAATCCTTAAGAACAACGATTTACCATTGTGTTATAGGCTTTTTTTCCAGAACAATTAGATCTTAAAAAATTGTTGATATGGCACATCACGGTAATCTTATTATGAACCATCCCAACATAGGAAATATATTAATGTCAATTGAATTGCAAGAGATTAAAGCAATGAATGATGAATCATTTTGTTACTAGTCATACATCTAAAAACATATACCAATTGATAATGCTTGGATGACTTTAGTGAACCTCCTTGGATTGTAAAAATGAATAACAATGGAAGAAAAGGAGCACAAGATCCTACATAGATACATATAAGAAATTGGTTGGATTCCTGCATGAATGGTGTACATAGAGCTTTCCATAGAAATTTTCTACTGCCATTCTTGTGCTCCCTACTCCAAGTCTAGCCCCCCCCCCCCCCTCACTTATTGCTAAAAGGCTTTGCTGCTGGTCTTATGATCCATGTAGCACAATAGCCTTTAAAAAAGTACTGACTTGTTTGTTACATGCAGGAGCTACTACCGGTGCACGCACCAAGGATGCAACGTGAAGAAGCAGGTGCAACGGCTATCACGGGACGAAGGTGTGGTGGTAACGACATACGAAGGCACCCACACGCACCCAATCGAGAAGTCCAATGACAACTTCGAGCACATACTCACCCAGATGCAGGTCTACTCAGGCATCAACAACGTCTCCCAAACCTTTGGCAACCAACACATGTTTCAATGAACATCACATGCAAGGCTAAACAATGCCTATGCACGCTCGCAGAGATTATCTTGATTTGTACATTAACCCTAGACATGTGAAAACGTAAAAGAGTAATAAAGCGTGATGCCATAGCTAGATAGATGCAGGTTACTCATGCGAGTTTTTTTTTCATTCCTTTGTTGATGTTTTTTTTAATTGTAGATGAACTATATATTATGGACTAATCGATCAGTACAAACACATAAAGTATTAGCACCTCGGGGGTATGTGTGCACTAGTGTTGTACAGCTCCTCATCATCCATTTCAGATCTAGTATAAAATCATCCATATCATATCCACGATGCATTTATGCATGTGTTTGTTTTCAATTTTTCACATCAGTATGACCTGTTTAAGTTGTACTTGTTTGGTTGTATTATTCCGATCGAAAATGATGAAATACATATGTGAAACAATCTCTATCAGAATATGTCCATGCACATATGAGATATGACCACATGAGGACCCCTTTTTCGTGACCAAAACACAAAAACGCAATAATTGTACTTGGTCTATAATGTGAGTATAGAGCAAACTTGGGCTTGGTATAAGCGAAGGGTTTGATATTGAAGTTGAACAATTGTAACAGGGGCTTAATATAGTGTGGTAACGGAAATAGATTATACGAAGTTGGTAGTCAAATACACGGGGTCAAGGGAGGGGCAGGCTAAACGCCTGCGAGAGGGGTGTCTAGATTGGGTGTGGTGGTTGGCCAGGGATGTTTTCAAAGCTAGCCTCAACCGTCTTTGTCACCGGATGTATTCTATTGACTAGTACACGGGGAGAAGCAAGTAAGGGTTCCAGGAAACGCAGCACTCGTCGAACTCTATAATCAAACCACGTCTCATTGTCTACTTTTCTACAATGGCCCAATCATTAAATTCCTAGCATAAATCCACATCATCTGCTGGATTGGAGCCATGACTAGGTATCAGCACCTCCATGGGATGGAGATAGTGGACCGAGGAGAGCTCGCGTAGACGAGCAGCAGCATATAGGAAACTAGTAGAGTTGATGCGAAAAGTGATGGGAGCGATAAAATGTGTGTTGAAAGCATGGAAACTGGCAAGTGGGTTGAGAGGGGCGGCATGTCTCAAGATGGAAAGACGAGCGGCTTTGCGCGGGTGGAAATAGACAGGGAAAGAAGAGCAAGAGGAGGGATTTTAGTAGAATTATTAATCCGCTGGTTATGGTGATCGAGTGGGCTTTTGTGCCTACTACAAAATTACTTATGGTTATCAGAAAACAAGGCCCATCTATAACTCATGTTGCTCGCCTACAAAGCAGCGGCACATGGGCCAGGCCCACAGGCATTCACGTCTCTTTTTTCTTCTGTTTCATTTTCAATTGCTTTTTTTTTGTTTCTTTTCATCCATACTTTGTGTTGAAAATACACAAATTCATATTAGAGATAGATGAGCACTTTTTTTAAAGGAATTATACAAAAAAGGTGTCGATGTATTTTATTTTTTGAATTTTTTTTCATTTGTTTTTTAGCTTTTCACATAACTATAAAAAAATATTCAAACTTTAATGTCATTGTGCATATTATGAACGTTTATCATGTATTAAACGATATTCCACATGTTTAAAAACTAGGTTTATCATGTATTTTCAAATATTCATCACATATTTTAAAATATACATCATGTTAAAAAATGGTAAATATGTATTGAAAAGTGTTCTTAGTGAATTTGAAAAAAAATCATTGTGAATCGAGAAATATATCAACTTAAAAAATGTTCATGGTGCATTTCGAAAATTTAATCACCTTTTAAAAATGTTTGTCATGTTTTCAAAGAGTGTTTGCCAGGAAAAACAAGAAGTCCAAAAAACATAGGAAAGAGTGAAAAACACAAGAAAAGGGTAAAAACTAGAACATAAAATAAATAGGGGACAATAAAATGGAAATTAAATAATTAAATATTTGAAATACACTATGATCATCTTTGTAATGCCTAGTAAACACTTTTTTTATTACATGCTTAATAATTTTTAGATATACGATAACCAATTTGTAATACACAACAAAAAAATAAACAGTGATGAACAATTTTTAATATAGGATGAATATTTTATGAATACCCCATGAATTTTTCTAAATTAAACGAACATTTTTTAAAGTACGTTAACATTTTTTAATCATGTGAACATTTTTAGAGAAAAATACATGAATGTTTTCAATTACATAAGCATTTAGATAAAAGATACATGTATAGTTTTGTTTGATATATGAACACATTCTAAAACTATATAAAAAGTACTTTTCAAATGCATGCTGAACATTTTTTAAATACAAGACGGACAATTTTGAAAACCACCATGAACATTTTTGCATGAGAACAAAAAATGGGAACTAAAATAAAGGAAAAAAGATGAGAACATAAAGATTTAAAAGGAAGTATGGAAAAGAAACGAACATAAGTAGGTAAATCAAAAATAAGAAAATGGTTTTGAAAAGCAGCATATGAGGCCGGCCGCGAGTCTCTGACAAAACCGAACCCAACCACTCGAACCAAGCGAATACGCTAAAAATGAAAGGAACCCAGCTACAAAAAGAAAACTGTTATGAAAGGAAAACCGCTTGAGGTAAAAAGTCCCGCCACAGGCCGGCGTGAACTTGCCTTGTCTAAGTTTGTAACAAAATTCTTTTGAAATATATTCAGGTGGGGGCTTGATGGTCGTGGCCCACGAACTGGCTGCTGTAGGCGAGCGCTAACTCAAACTCCCAGTAAGCGAGAAATAGGCTTAGTAATGGCATATCTATATTGATGCAGAATTTGACAAGGATGAGTGTTCTTCACAACTGTCTAAAAAGATGCATGTATTGGTGGTACATAATACTACATAGAATGATTGAGACTACAAGTGACTGATAAACACGACAAAGCACGGAGCATAACTACTGAGCTACCGATGATCGACCGAGTGCAAATAAGTAGACGAGCGACCTGAACCCTAACGAATGTCCAATCCTCTACCAGATGAAACACAGCCAGACGCCATTCTGCAGTAGTCTAAAACTCACAGTGCCTTCTCATCCCAGGAACTGGTGTTCAGAGGTTAATCAGGTCATCTTTCTTCTTGTCCTGCTTTTGGGCCCCATCCGCATCCTCCTGGGAGCTGCTGCTCCCTCCCTTCTTGCCGAATATCATCTCCTCGAGGTCATCGAGCATTCCGTCGTCTTCCCCAGCAGGCTTTGCTCGAGCACCGGCCGGTTTTCGGACCAGGGCCTCTTCGCTGCCGACGGCGGTGGCATCCTCGTGTTCCGCTTCTGCGGCGATCGGTACGACCAACGGCTCTTGCTCCGCGTGCGCTGGCGCCACGGGTTTCTTCATCTCTTCGTATCGGGATAGCACTTTCTGGATCTCGTCGTTCACGGTTAGGGCCTCGAAGAGCATGGCCTCGTTGTCCCCGGCCGTCTCGACGAATCTCTGGATGGTGTGTTGGGATTGGTAGCACTGTTGCACAAGGGTGTTCGTCAAGTCGTCCTGTGCAAGTAACAGAACTAGTCAACAAAAACATAAGACTAGCACTTCACCATTGTAAATGTATGCAACAACAACAACAACAACAAAGCCTTTAGTCCCAAACAAGTTGGGGTAGGCTAGAGGTGAAACCCATAAGATCTCGCAACCAACTCATGGCTCTGGCACATGGATAGCAAGCTTCCACGCACCCCTGTCCACCATTGTAAATGTATGCCCTAACAAAAATCTACCTCAAACTAGTAAAATAACATGTAAAACACAGTCTGATTACTGAAGTAAGTATTCCATGTTGCAGGATATTTTGAGCGCACACCTTGCTTTCACACAAGTTCAAATATACCTCCAGTGAATGCAATCACTATCAAGGAACATAGTATCAAGCTCAATTAAGCACTAATGAGTGACTCTTCAATTCTGATTTATAGCTAAATGATTCGCAAAAGGACAAAAATAGTTTTTCTAATGTATTGCAAACTTGCTCATTAGGACTTGTGATAGCTCAGAAAATTGCAGCAATGTTGTCTCGGAATGGTAGATGGTATGCATTTAGAAACAAAATTTGAATGCTAGATTATAACATATTCAGGAACAGAGTGGAACTTCAGAGTTCAGAGTATCTCATAACAGAGTTCTACGAGCATGAAATAGAATAAATATAACACAAGGCACCGGCAGCAGAACCAAATAATAATAATAATAATGCGCTACTGGTATTTAAATAAAATGTTCACCAGAAAAACTCCATGAAGAACCAGTCCAGCTATTGTGTGAAGTGAATTAGTGTACTCCAGTCAAAAGGTATTTATGCGAACTTGGGAGGAAGCTACACAAAGTCCAGTTACCTGCAAAGCATCCTGCTGAGGGGAAGATGAAAGAACGGTTGAAAGAAGCTCTATGCTGTTACGCGCAACATCAAAAGCTTCTTTTGTTTCTTCAGCAGTATATGTATGCATATGCACGTCTTCAAAGGTCTGCTGCGTGAAGTTTGCGCCAACTTCAGCTTCAGCAACTGAGCGTGGTGGAGTAAATATGGGCGCCAAGCTCTCATTGTCGCGTCCAGGAAACCGCACTCCTCTTGATTTCAGACTCTGCAGAAAATATATATTAGCTAGTTGTCGACTCCACTGCCTTGGTTACTAAAGCATAATATATTTTTCACTTAAAAGATAAATCATATGGATTTACAGTACTGCCATCAAACTGGACACCGAGACAACGAATTATTTGACTCGAAAATTTCTTGAGTAGATGTCAATGCTGCTGCCAAAAATTGTTCACCCCAATTTCTTCAACCATGAAGCCGTGAAAAATATGACCACCACAAATTATCACTCTTCACTTGTAAAACACAAAAGTATGAAACATATTAAAGCACAAGAGTGAGAAGCGTAAAGTAAAAAAGCACTGAGCTTATTGCATAGTACTGTACTTTCTTACTTGCAGGTATTAAGGGGGTGGTACAGTATAGGGAATGACCAAATGGTAAC